GGGATCCCTTTTTTGGCCGTTGGTTTTCACTCATGAACAGGTAACAGCTCAGAAAGTGGATGTATGAACAAGTTCAGCAACGCGTTTGGTAACACCATGCCAAACCACGCTCCAATCGAGTTGCAGTTGTGCCGCTGCTGGCAACGCTGCTCGTCCGCTGCGTTCAAATTTTTTTGCCCTTTTTCACAATTCCTTCTCAGCTCTGCTGACACGAGAATATTGAGATTATGATAATAAAAATGGGAATGTCAATCCCCTGGTTCCAACAGTTATCAATGCCAGACGTGCATGCGAGCGTTCACCACGCTCCATAGATCTTCACCCGGTTCTACTGAACACAAGCACGTTACGGCCGACAGCCTAATTGGAAGAACGTTATTAATGCGCTTGTTAGAGTGAGGTTTAGTAAGCGCTCACTTTCAATCCGGTTCGTAAACAACACATTGGTTTAGGAATCTCCTACTACTGTGGGCGTTAACTTTTAACCTAAGAATAGCACTCTCCGATCATGCTGCATACTACAATACTAGCCCACCCGGCGAGTCAAACTTGGAAATGGCAATAAATTTAAGTTGCGGACCATATCGATGTGTCGGACAGTGAACAGACTCAAACTTCTAAGAGCTCGATCGCCAACGGTATGCAGAGATTCTATCAGACGCAGTTACATTAGGATTTCTTGATCTTGTCGTGGCTCATGTTCTGAAGACGGTGGTGAGATATTGCCTAATGGCCACTAGGAATATTTCAGGGCTACGCCTTCATCTACCCTTTGTATGCAGCAGCCAGGTACATCTGTAGATACGGGCCAAACAACGCAAGTGAAGGAGACCCCCAAAAGTACCTGACAATGATAGTTCATAGTGATAGCCGATAGTTGATGAGTGATAGTTGTAATTACGGACAGTTAACAGATTACAGATAATCAGGTAATTCGTTGGCAGAAGGTTACACTTCGTGGAGCCCTTCGCCATTTGTGTTGTTTGGTCTGCATTGCAGATGCACCCGACTGCGAGGAACAAAGGGTACCTCTCCTTGTTCAAAGTACACTTCACTGATTCCCGCCGTGAGCAAAATGAGTCTTTTTTGGTTATGTAAATATTCACGAGAGCTCAAATAACAAAGATCGCTCCTGATCATTGTTGGAAACTGAATTTGAATCAAAATACGAAGTCGAAAATCAACATTTGTCAACAGGTCTGAACCGAATTATATCCAAAAAAGGAGAAAGTACTTAGCTGGAAGGTTCAGTTGTGTTGCGAAAAACTCTTTTTCCAAAAAGCTAGGGTACTCCGAGCGGGTGTCCCCCAAGAGGCCCACCGCGGCGAAAGGAAGAGACGCAGACGCGACAAAGGACGAGTCGCAGCGCATACTGTAGCGGTTAGGCGTCAGGTTAAATAGAGTGTACCATACTACGTCTCATATCGCACAGCACGCGCTGCGACTCGTCCTTTGCCGCATCTGCGTCTCTTCCTTCGCCGCGCGATGGGCCTCTTGGGGGACACCGAGTTACCATTCAACAAGAAACGCAGTCTTCAGCGTAAAATTCATGAGCATGTAACCTTTAAAGTTGAGACACGCAAATCAATTCTACACCGCTCGGATAGAGAAAAGCACAAGGATTCCAAAGCAGCTCTTACTTTTGCAAAAAAATCGCACCCTGAAAGCAGTATCCCTACTATATATAAAGCGCTAAGTCTGTCTGTCTGTCTGTGTGTGCGTGTGTGTGTCACGAAATTCATAGCACGCGTCGCAGCAGTCGTTAGGAGCTGATTTTTTGATATGATATAGGGGGGGGACGGGAACATATTTGGTGGGGGTCACAAAGTGATAACGACTGATAAGAGCAGATAAGAGGCGCTGAAACACAAATTTCACGAAATTCATAGTGCGCTTCGCAGCAGTCGTCAGGAGCTGATTTTGGGGCATGATATAGGGGTGGGACGGGAACATATTTGGTGGGGTCACAAGTGATAACGACTGATAAGAGCAGATAAGAGGCGCTGAAACACAAATTTCACGAAATTCATAGTGCGCTTCGCAGCAGTCGTCAGGAGCTGATTTTGGGGCATGATATAGGGGGTAAGACGGGAACATATTTGGTGGGGGTCACAAAGTGATAACGACTGATAAGAGCAGATAAGAGGCGCTGAAACACAAATTTCACGAAATTCATAGTGCGCTTCGCAGCAGTCGTCAGGAGCTGATTTTGGGGCATGATATAGGGGTGGGACGGGAACATATTTGGTGGGGGTCACAAAGTGATAACGACTG